AAAAGTAAGGCCCAAGTGGATGCCACTATAGTATGGTGTCTACCAAGCTGGAATTAGTTTACCAAAATAGTTACACTGTAACTTTCATTAACCCAATCTAATCTGACCTAACCTAACTTAATCTATCTTAACCTCACCTAATTTAACCTAACCTATCTTAACCTAACTTAACCTAGGTTGGATTAATGGATGCTACAGTGTAAATATCCCGATAGACACAACTCCAGCTCGGTAGACCGCTTATTATAGTAGCCCCAGCGTGGTAGACCACAGACAATAGTAGCACCCGCAAGTGTTAGGTGGTGGAGTGGATGATTATTTTTGACCGCAACTGTATTAACACCATTCCATCTGTTCAACTTCCTTTACCAGACTCACATGGACTACTTTCTATCTCCCTTACTCTTGGTGACCAGATCCTTTGTATAGTTATTATTTATTTAGTTATTATTTATTTCAAGAGACACCATGTGTCACCATTTAAATACTCGTAAAATTCTTGTGCATTTAACTATACCTGGTGTAGGACTAGCATCTTGTTTCTTTGCTAATTGAGTGTAATTATAAGAAAACTGTTGCTGCATGCCATACATCAGTAAATGTAAGTAAAAATATGCTGGGTTTGATTAAATAATATTTCGTTTGACTGTATGATTATTGTGGTTGTCATGTGAAATATGCTCATTAATGCGAACACCTTCTTAATATGCCAAGGATTCGTGAAATGTTGTCAAAAATGCAATAATGGCGAGCAATCACCAAGAAAAGTGCTCGTGTGAGTGTACCCCTCCTTTAACCAATATTAGATAATGTATATCCTATATATAGGCTTTGACGTAATTTTCCGTCATGTGGTGCAAGCTCACATGGGATACATGAGGATTTTTACTTTTTACTTTTTTAGTATGTCATTAAGTGGGAAGAGATCCACCAAGTTTCATCTCACCCCCTTTGTTCTGACCATAAGTCCAATTGTTATCGGTCTTTTGGAGAGTCTGTACGGGTAGAAATTGCGGAAGGAAGAGAAAAACTAATTATGGGAGTGATTTACAGGCCCCCAAGTCTTGGGAAAGAAGCAGCTCAGCCCATATGGCAGGAAATGAGTAGAGCAGCAAGATACAACAACCTGTGCCTTATGGGGGATTCCCAACTTTAGAAATATTGACTGGGATAACATTATAGGTGATTATGAATTTGAAGACTTCCTAGAGGTGACAATATATTAGACTTAGTATTAACAAATAAAGAAAATGTTATCAGAGATATCACAATAGGGGAAGAACTAGGAAACAGTGATCACAGAGAAATCAGGTTTACCCTAAATTGGTAAACAAAAAATAATGACAATATGGTCAGAGTCCCAGACTTTCGATCGGCGGATTATGAGGGATTAAGAAGGTACCTAGGCTGAGGTCACCTGAGAATGGTCAGGTCAGTCTCCGGTAGGAATGGGTGAGGTCATTGGCGACACAACAAATGATGATGACTATACTAAATTCACTAGTATACTACGTAAGGCACGAGAACAAAATATACCGTACAGAAAAATTAGGTCAAATAAGAATGAGCCAAGGTGGATGACCAAAAAACTTAAACATGACATAGGAATAATGAAAGGAATTTATAAGAAATTACAGGGAAGGGAGGAGCATCTCACAGATATGTATAATGAACTACTATATCTAGGAATGTTAAGAAAAATGTAAGGAAGGCAAAGAGGGACTACGAAATCAGGATAGCAAGAGAATCCAAGGCAAATCCCAAGGGATTTTTCCAAGTATATAGGACAAAGGTCAAGGACAAAGTGGGGCCTTGAAGGTCAGAGAGAGGGGGAAGTGATCGATGATAGTGAGGAAATAAGCAAAGCAATAAACAGCTATTTCTTATAAGTTTTCACAGAAGAAATTCACAAGGAAACGCCAGAGGTGGAACTGATATTTAGGGGAAATGAAGAAGAGAAACTAAAGGATATACTATCAGAAAAGAGGATGTTTTCTTAAGAAGATAAATAAATTAAAGAAGACAAAATCCCCAGGGCCAGATGAAAATTTCCCCGAGTTTTGAAAGAGTGTAAGGAACAGATTAGTGGACCCCTCGTAAATTTATTTACAAAATCATTACACATGGGAGTTGTGCCAGACTTGTGGAAACAGGCAAATGTAATACCCATAATCAAAAAGGGAGACAGAGCATCAGCGTCAAACTACCAGTCGATTAGTTTGACATCAGTAGTGAGGAAATTTCTTGAATCAAATACAGCAAATAGCATCCGATCGCATTTAGAGATAAACAATTTAACATACGACTCTCAACACTGATTTACAAATGGAAAATCTTGTCTAACAAATCTGCTGACGTTTTTTAGGAAAGTCTGTGAGGTAGTAGATAATGACGAAAATTACGATGTTATTCACTTAGACTTTCGCAAAAGCATTAGACAGAGTACCGCATCAGAGGCTTCTGAGAAAAGTTAAGGCTCATGGTATCGGGTGGAAAGTTTTAAATTTGATAAAATTATGGCTCACCGATAGAACACGGGGTCAGCGTAGATGGTTTTAAATCTGAGTGGAGCTGTGTAACTAGTGGGGTTCCCTAGGGGTCAGTATTGGACTCACTCTTGTTCATAATCTACATAAACGATCTAGATACTGGGATCAGCAGTGACATAAGCAAGTTTGCTGATGACACCAAAATAGGGCGGCAGATTAATTCAGGACAGGATGCAAATGCACTACAGGAGGATTTAAATAAACTGCAGGAGTGGTCATAAAAATGGCAAATGAAATTCAACACCAGCAAGTGCAGCTTACTTAATATTGGACGGACAAATACTGTCAATGTGTACAGCCTTAACAACATCAACCTAGAGAAGTCGATTTGTGTAAGAGACTTAGGGGTACTTGTAAGCCCAGACCTTCGGCTTAGAAAACAGTGCGTTAATGTTCGAAAAAGGCAAACAGAGTACTGTATTATGTTTTATATCTAGAAGTGTAAGTACATGTAATAAGAGTGCGGAGGTCATATTGCAATTATATCTTGCGCTAGTCAGGCCGCACCTTGATTATGCTGTTCAGTTCTGGTGCCCTTATTATAGAATGGATATCAATTCACTGGAGTCGGTACAGCGAAGAATGACGAAAATGATTGCGGGTCTAAGAAACCTTCCATATCAAGATAGATTAAAGATACTAAACTTGCATTCCCTAGAAAGAAGAAGAGTGCAGGGAGATATGATGGAAGTATTTAAAAGGGTGAAAGGAATCAATAAAGGAGATATAGATAATGCTCTTATAATATCCGAGCAGGAAAGGGCTCGTAGCAACGGATTTAAGTTGGATAAGTTTAGGTTTAGGAGGGAGATCAGAAGAAACTGGTTCACAAATAGGGTGGTAGACGAGTGGAACAAGCTTAGCAACTTTGTAGTACGTGCTGGGACACTGGAAAGTTTTAAAAGGAGGCTAGATAGATTCATGGACGATAGAGAGTGGTTGTAACTCGACAGGAGCTGCCATGCACATGCCAACCGGCCTATTGCAGACTCCTTATTTTCTTATGTTCTAACAGTGCGTAACAGAGATGTGACCGACCGACCAAAAGGCTAATGAGCAGATCAGTGGTGAAGAGGATAAAAGTAAAAGTAAGTAAGAAAAGTGGAGGCTCATGGAATTGGAGGATATATTCTTAAATGGATTAGGGCATGGTTACAGGATAGGAAACAGCAAGTAAGCATTAACGGCAGTAAATCCGATTGGGGTAACGTCACTAGTGGAGCACTCCAAGGCTCAGTACTTGGACCATTACTATTTATTATATACATAAACGACATAGATATAGGCATAGACAGCAATATAAGTAAATTTGCTGATGACATAAAAATAGGGCGTGTAATTAAATCTGACGGGGACTCTGCAAAACTACAGGAAGATGTTAAAAAAAATTTTGAATGGCCTGAAAAATGGCAGATGAAATTTAATGTGGACAAATGTAAAGTACTTAGTCTAGGAGATGTAAACAGAGAAACTTGATATCAGATGAACAACGTTGTTATACAGAAATCAACTGAGAAAGATCTAGGAGTGCTGTAATGATTAGTAGGAATTTTAAGCAAAATAAAAAATGAGTATTTGCTCGAAACAAGGCTAACAAAGTACTTGGGTTCATACAAAGGAGTGTTATTTTCCAGACTAGCGAGGTTATACTAAAATTATATCTTGCACTTGTGAGACCTCACTTGGATTACGCAGTTCAGTTCTAGCCATACTACTGAATGGACATAGAATCCCTAGAAAGAATTCAGAGGAGAATAACAAGGTTAAAGCATCTTAATTTGCACTCCGTCGAGAAACATAGAGTGAGGGGCGATATGATCGAGGTGCATAAATGGAAGTGATATAACAGAAGTACTCAAACTATCCAACCAAGAGCGAGCTCATAACAATTGTTTTAAATTAGACAAATTTAGATTTAGGCGTGAGATAGGCAAACATTGGTTTGGAAATAAAGTAGTGGATTAGTGGAACAAGTTACCAAACATCATCATTAACTCGAATACACTGGATAGTTTCAAACATAGGATATGAGCGATAGGGGTTGAGTGTAAATGGGATTGCCCAGTATGGGCCAATAGACCAGCTGCAGTTTCCTCCATTCTTATGTTTTTATATCTTCCTCCGTGGTAAATATTCTTCTGAAATCTGAGCTGTTTACTCATACATAACTGAATAGTATGGAGGGAAAATGCAGTTCAGATTTCTTTGCACTGACTTGGTTTATGCAGACATATTTGAGCCTTTAACCTTTATCTGTTGCCAGAACTGAGCATAGCAAACAATGTTGAATAATTGCCACGAAAACCGTCAAGCCATTCATATATCAAACACAAAAATTAACTACACAGTTTGCATTGTGACTCCAGCTTTCAAAAAATACAATAAATTAGTATTTCCCAAATCAGGACTATTTTGCCCCTTCCTTACCCATTATCGCTCCTCAGGACTTACTTAGGTAGGATGTAGGCAAAGGACTCCTCGGACTCGTCACACAGGTAGTTGGTTATCCAGGGCGCCCGCACCTGCCCAATAGAGAGAAGTACAATGTAAAATTGTATCCAAATACTGTATACATTTATATACCTAGAGCTATATTAGGATATAAGGTGAAGTTATTTTATGTATGTAAGATAAATATAATTGTGATTTACGCCGGAATAATATACTGTTCCAACATGTTAAAGGGGAGCAAGAACCCAAGCCACTGGACTTCATCATAACAAACGAGGAGGGTATGGTGGCCAAACTGGAACATCTAGCCCCAGTTGGCACCAGCCACCATGTAATGTTGTCATCCAGATTTAACTGTTACTTAGTTCATGGCAAAACCAGGCCAAGGTGCAAACATTACAAGGGAAATTACGACAGGATGAGGGAGGAGATGGGGGGTATCCATTGGCCTGACTCACTAAGGCATAAGAACTCAGATGGTAAGCTGAATATCATAGCTAGTAAAGTGAACCATTTGATCGATAAATATATACCCAAGACCAAACCCAGTGCCTTCTGGGAATACAAGGGAACCCCTATACATGAACCATGCGGCGGTCGACAAAGTTAAGAAGAAAACCCAGAAATTCAACGATGAGCCAGGAACCAAGCAAAGTCGGAGTGTAGATGGGCTGAAAAGGTGTTCCAGAGGCTGGTTGCAAGCGAAGTCGTGTCAAACCCAATGACGTTTTACCGCTATGCAAAGTCAAAATTAAAAACGTGAGTAGGAGAATCGGACCAGAGGCTTGAAGATGGTAGTTATGCAGAGTCTGACCAGGACAAAGCTGAGGCATTAAACAGATTCTTTTCTTCGGTGTTCACAAGAGGATGCGATTAACCTACCTGCGTTTGAGGACAGACGGTTCGACACAGTACTGACCCACATTGTGTTCACAGAAGAGGGTATTAGAAATAAACTGTCAAAGCTAATGGTTCATAAGACTCCCGGCCCTGACATGGTGCAACGACCTTGCTGAGCTCCTGAATATCCTGTTCTGTAAATGCCTGGATGAACAAAAGGTCCCCAGTGATTGGAAAATGGCTTACGTGAGTCCTATCTTCAATAAGGGCGATCGTCACTCCACGAACAACTATAGACCAGTGATCCTGACCAGCATAGTATGTAAAGTACTTGAGAGCATTATAAGATATGCCATGATGGAACATCTACTACGAAACAACCTTGTAAAGGATTGCCAACACGGTTTTATGCAGGGGCGCTCCTGCTTAACACAATTACTCAAAGTACTGGATATTTGGACCTATATTCTGGAACAGGGTGGTAATATCGACAATATATACCTAGATTTTGCCAATGCTTTCGACAGTGTACCCCACGAAAAGCTGAAAATTAAACTGGAAGGGTACGGGATTCGAGGAAATGTCCTAGCGTGGATTGAAGACTTTCTACATGACCGCAAGCAGTGTGTGGTGATTAATGGCACGAAATCATCATCCGTACCTGTCACAAGCGGTGTCCCACAGGGCAGTGTATTGGGTCCGCTGTTGTTTGTTTGCTTCATAAATGACATGCTTGAAGCTGTACATTCCTCCTTACAAATGTTTGTGGGAGATGCAAAGTTATTTCTGGAAATTAAGAACCAAGCAGAAGGAACTACAGTATGTGAGCTTCATGAATGGCCGAAGAAATGGCTGCTAAGATTCAATGTCACGAGGTGTAAGAGGCTACACTTAGGACGTACCAACGGTATGTAGGCGAGAAGAAGGTAAATCAGGCAACTGTCAGTTGATTGAAAATGTCCAAAAGAGGGCCATCAGACTGGTGCCTGCATGCATTGCGGCACCTCAGCTACCCTTAGAGCGCCTGAAATTGCCTAGCTTATACTACAGACGGGCAAGGGGAGATCTAATTGGGGTGTGATGTCATGGTCACGTTGACTGCCAGTCTGTTTAATTAATGATTCTTATTAAGCTCCGCGACCGCAAAACATGAGTGGGTTAGTAGGGTGTGTCATACGGAGGCGAATTTTTTTTTTTTGAGTTTGAAAAATCGGCCCATGGTATTAATGATGTAGTTCTATGTGTAGAATCATGTGATATCTTCAGATTTGAAAAGTTTTCATTTTTTGCTTGGTAAATTTTAACTTGAAATCTTATGAAAATTCAGTATTCCCACCCTTTTACCAACACCACTAAATAGCTTATTTAAAGTAAAGTAAATGTATCAGGTTAATTTATTAGGATGAAAATGATCCAGAATAGTGAAATGAATGATCTTGACACATTTATTAAATTTAATATTCCTTTAGAAAACAAAATCATCAAATACAAAAACCGGTTTTACTACTACGACCCGTGTTGCTGCACACCATAGAGAACATGTCTTTCTTGCTTCTGTTTCTACTCATCACCTCCCTGCTGACCACCTGAGCTCGGATGTAGCCTTCCCTCCTCTCCTGGCTGTACACGTGACTGCTGGCCTCGCTCACTTGCTGTACACAACGCTCTATACTCTGGGTGTGCGAGGGCCAGGCAGGGACATGCATGGGGTTGTCCAGGAAAGCTCTGACTTGAACATTGGTGAGGCTGCAGGTAAGAGGGGCTCACTGCCAGCCTGGATGTTATCCAGATCTATGAGATCAGTGAGGGTCTTGGCACCTAGATTGACTTCAGGAGTCTTCCTGACCCTGAAGGAATCGTCACCAACTGATTCATCATGCCCAGATCCTCTCATAAGTCTCATATCCAAGATCTTTTTGACTGCCACTCTTCTCTCCTCCTCATCCTTACTGCAGAGCATTGTCTGCAGAACTGCCTCGGGATGAGCATACCAGGAAGATCTCCTCACAGTCTGCTCCACAATCTGAACAACCTTCCTTGGCTTGACTCCTCAGGAGCTCAAGCTGGAAGAGAACATGCCTCGGACCTTCGGAGAACGATGCCTTGACCTTGGTGTTGAACCAATTTGGCAAGTGGAGCACTCAAGATGAATTGGACAATAAGTCTCAGGTTGTGAAGCTGGTTCCTTTCAGTTTGCTGATGGCGACCAATTGCAGAACCCTGAGAGCATTGTGAGCCACCTAGAGATGTGGACTGGTTCTATCTGCAGGTAAGCAAGTCCTATCAGGCATGACCCCAATTTTGATGGCACTGCAAATCATGTAACATGGTACTGGTCCAGTACTCAGGTCGTCAATGACAGTATGTACAAGCTCAGCGAGTGGAGAGACCCAACTGTGATTTTCAAAGCTTCCGGATTTGTTCTAACTTCGGTGGCAGAGTTAAGCATCTTGCCAAGAGGACCAGACCATCTGTTGTTTGAAAAGAGTCTTGCCATCCAGCTCCTGGATCAGGTGCCTGAGTGGCCTTTCGTTGGTGTGGAGGTCTAAACAATCCAGACCAGCTTCCTCCCAATCTTCCGCTCTATCCACTGTATGACCCCCCCTTGCCACCCTGTGTTCGTGTTGGTGCTGTCCCCTCCAATGGCCTGCAGGGTCTGGTCTACGTTCCTCTCTCTGGGCCAGTTCACAATGTTATCTGCCACTATCTCAGCTGGTTTCCTGATTTCATCTTTCTCTGGAGAGAAATGCCACAAATACTTCCCTCCCGGTTCACTGCAGCAGGAGTAGTGTTCCTCCTTCACCATGACAGGGAACAACTTGTCAGAATCTCCAACTTTCATGTACACTTTAGTGTCATCCCTTCTCCCATCAAAGAACAACCAATTGATTCCATTTTCTCTTATCCCCTTATCAAGCTCCTCTTCTAGGTTACTGACAAGTTTCTCCTGGAAGCTCTCCTTACTTTGTTATGATCTATCACCAGGTGAACATCATCAGGTGTTATCAAACCACACCATCAATCAGGCAGCTATTTGCTATCTCCTGCAGTTTCTCTGAGACCAGTGTGGTGTCACGCATGCTGGCGCGAGCTATACTCAGGATATCTTTTCCTATTTCAGATCTGCCTTATGCCTGGAAGGGTTTGGGATCATTATTTTCTGGGATTGGGGACAAAGTCACCATTCTCCTGGTCAGCACTCGGATCAGCCATGGGGAAGTCATTAAACTCTGAATCAGCTTGACTCCAATCATCGGCCTTTTTTACCTCACCCTGGGCCTTCTCAAGTCTCTTTTCCTCGGCAACTCTTTTCCTCTTCTGTCTCTCTGTGGCAGCCTCCTGTCTCTTGGACTCCGGAATATCTTGGCTAGAAATCATGAGAGCCCCTATACTGCTAGTCTTCTCTCTCTGTGCTTTGACAAATGCCAGTTCGATCACAGGAATCTTCAGTTCACGCTTGCAAATACAGGAGATGTGGGCCTCGGATTTACAGTCACGATCGCATCCAAACTCAGGACAGAGAACAATTGGGCACTTGCAAGTAATTATGTCAAATAACTGGTCCAGTTGCTTGGCAAAGCTGTCATAACTGCAAGTTTTCCTCTCCCAAGAGAGATATCTCTTGCCCTTTTTCCCCAACTGGCTAGCAGTCTCTCACTAATCTTCTGACTTGTTATGACTGGAGGCTTGAACTGAGCGTTAGCCAGAGTGTACTGTGCCAAGACAGCTTTGGTGTATCACTGCTTGAAAATGTCCTTTGTTTGTGTAAGTTCTTTGGTTCTTTTTCACTGATTTGCTAGTTAAAACACCGTATCTCAAGCATCTCTGAATGTAGGCAACTCCGACTTCAGGAGCTCTCTCCCAGACCCAAGATAGTGACTGAGATGGCTGGATTTTTGGTTCCTCGTCCTGACACAAGCAGCCATCGCAAATATTATCAACTTATAAATGCATCAGAATCTGAAACAGAAAAAAAATATTGTTAGTTGGGTTGTTAAAGAATGAAGTCAGAAAGCAATGTTCACTATTTAATTGTAACGCACTAATGCAGCTTTACGTTAGATTTTCGATAAATTTCACGCTAAAATTTACCTAGCAAAAGGTTGCAAAATATTGAAACTGAAATTATTTTCTGTTTATATACACTAAAATCTACCAAAAAAGTGATAGGCCATTAGTTTTAGCTGATCTTCCCTCCTATGACACACTAAGTGGGTTAGCAACCCTGAAG